CCACCTGCCTCTGCCTCTGCCTCCCAAGTGCTGGGATTAAAGGCGTGCGCCACCAATGCCCGGTAGAGCTTGGCAATTTTACCTTCCCATTAGCACGGTTAATTTTGTTCACAACTTCAGCGATAATGATCTTCTCTTCAATGGCGTCTTTGAGTTTCTTATACTTTGGGTTCTTGTTGATTTCCAGGTAAGCTCCTTGGAAAGGTTGCCCAACACTAAAGGAGAAAAAAAATGTACCTTAGAAGTGGTTTCAAATAGACACGTCACTGTCAGAAAGAGACAGGCCAGGTGATCTTAAGGAATAATCAACGACATGAAAGTGACTTCAATTTATTTTACACTTTGCACAGGCACCTGTTTTAGACTTAAGTTAGAAATGAAGCCTTAAACTCATGCCAAATATATTTCAATGTGGACAGTGGAGGCAGTTGGTGGGACAGTGATAAAAATCTCACTTGTAATGATCAGGAGAGAAAATGCCATGTACAGCCAAACTCAAGCATGTGGCCCTGTGTGAAGCAAAGGGCAACAGAAAGCTAACAGCTGCCCACACAGGGCACACCAACACATGTAAACAATGTAAGCCAATGATAAAGGTGACAATATCACCATCACCTGCTCCAAAGACAAATGTCATCTTCACACAGAGAGTAAGAAAGTCAGAAACCACCTGGGGAAGGATGGACCTGGAGGTGACAGGCCCTCAGGCACAGCCAGAGCCCTTTGCTTCTGCCCAGGTGACTCCCACAGGGCAGTGTTTAAAAGGCACCAAGTAAAAGACTGCTGGCCCACGGGATTTATAGCTTCATTTTGAGTTCATTTCTGGAAATAAGTGCAGAAGGCTTGAAATGCTTGTGCTGTGGGCGGAGGCTCAGGGGAGAAAAAAAATCTATGTAGGTGGCCAGCCCTTTGCAGCTCCCAGGACACGAGCAGCTAACACCCATAGGCACTGCTGCTTCACAGCTCGGGGAGGCAAATTCTTCCACATCTCCCACGGGCGAAGAGAGTGTGCCACTCTCTCCAAAACCTGACACAGCTCCCCAGAAGGGACTTGACTCAAAGTTAACTTTCTTTGTGTTCATAGTTTAATTGTGTTTTTAATAATAAAAAGTGCTAAGAGCCTAATTTTCGTCTGTTTCCTTAGTGATGCATTCTACAGCCCCCCTCCCCCCTGCCCCCAATTTTAGAGTCTTTTATGGGAAATGTTTAACAAGGCTGCTGTCTAACTTAAGAATTATAAAGAAGAGGATGAATAAAAACAGCTGCTGAAGAAAGCATGCTGCTTTCCTGTTGGCTTAGTCTTCACACAGTAGTCACGTTAGATAACTTTGGATTTAGTCATGTGTTTGACTAAAAGTACAGGCTATCTTAAGCATCCAAGTAAGCAGCTAATGGAGGAAACACTACAATTTGAAATCATAAAACCTAACAGGCCTGGCAACTATGCTAACTTAATCCTTTTAAAGGGAGAGCTTTCAAACGTATATACAGATAGAAACATTAAATACACAGGACTACTTGGCATGTATTACCAAGATCTTTATTTCTAGATCTTTTCGAAAAGCTACAAGTTACTGTAGATGCTGGTTTGAAATTACATAATCTACTTGTTTCTATAAAAGCCAGATGAAACAGAAACGGGAATGTGAGGAGACTGATAAAAATCCAATCCACAGGATGCTCAGATACATAAATTCCTTTGTCAAGGGCTGGACTTGTTGAATCTGCAATGTGTTTATTCTTTTCCTGAGTTCACAGTGTCCACAACAAGCGAGCTGAACTTTTGTACAGGCCACTGAGGTTGTGACTAGCCATTTAACAGCCAAAGGACACCATGGGTCCATGCTTAAGTTACAAGAAAGAGTAATGACCGGTCTGTCCCTGGCACTGACCTGACAAATGAATCTTAACAGCCAAAGGACACCATGGGTCCATGCTTAAGTTACAAGAAAGAGTTACCGGTCTGTCCCTGGCACTGACCTGACAAATGAATTTCTGACCGGACTTCATATTGGCAGAAAGATCCCAACAATGATTATAGTTCAATGCAAAAAGAGTCTTGAAAACAGGGTTGTACAATGACAATTTATCCTAAGAGTCCATATAACTTCCATTTTTCATGGCCTCCTGTTTACCAAATGATTTAAGCTAAGGCCAATAGAGCAAAACCAACAATTGTGATCCTTATGCATCCCATGGAAGCTGCTGCCCAGTGCTAGGTGTATCTATATCCAGTGGCTTCTTAAGTCATTCACAAAAGTAAGTCTCATAGAAAAGATGGAGTGACATGTCTGAGAAAGGAAGTAGTAAACTCTGGCATTTCCAAGTAAGCACAATCATACATACCTAGAAGGATACAAAGCTTTCTTGTCTTTGAAGAGTTCACTGGCCTCTAGCTTCTCCTCATAAATGAGTTTCTGCTGGTCTGTGAACTGGTCCCTGTATTTTTTACACTGTGAGACAGGAGAAGAACATACACAAAGAACCACTTTGTTTTGCTGGTCTGTGAACTGGTCCCTGTATTTTTTACACTGTGAGACAGGAGAAAAACATACACAAAGAACCACTTTGGTTTTTTTTGTTTTGTTTTGTTTTGTTTTGTTTTTCTGAGACAGGAAAGAGTCTCTATGCAGAGCCCTGGATACACACCATGGCTGACCTTGAACTCACAAAGACGTCTGCCTCTGCCTCTCAAGTGCTAGGATTAAAGACGTGGTGGCCAATTTCTTGTTCTTAAGCATGTTACACTAAGAGTAACTGAAAATGCACACAATGTTCATTTGAAAAGTCAAACCCACTTTGGTTTCCAAAAGTTGGTCTTAAGAAAATGTTAGGAGCCATTTGTGTTGCAGATTTTGGAATGCTTCTTTAAAATATAGCCTATACCCAGGGAGTCTAGATTCTGCTACAGTGTAAATCCCCAAGGATCTCCAGGCCTGAGGCTGTCATTCCTGAATTCACTTACAAGAAATAACACTGTATGGTGCAGTATGGCAATCCCATGCAGATTTACACACATACTTCTCTAACCCCAATGTGTTTACTCTTACTTTTTGATTATTGTTTTTCACTTTAAAATGCTGGACATGTCTAGAGACACTCAAACCCCAGCACTTGGAAGGCTGAGGCAGAAGCAATGTAAGTTCAAGGCCTGCCTGGGTCACACACCAAATCTGAGGTCGGCCTGAGCAGGACCCTGTCTCAAAACCAAACAACACAGACATATGCCGGCAGTTATTTACTAAACAGGTTTCATGATCCACAAGTATGTTACGGACAGCCTGAAAAAAACAATGCTTAACTGTCCCCCATTACCACTATATACTGTGCAAGGGGGATCTGGGAACTCCTTGACTCTTGACTTTGAGGATAAAGTGAAGGGGACAGGACTGGCCAGAGGAGCAGATTTTTCAAAGAATTGGTCTACAGGTGGGCTAGTGCCTCCACTGAAGTGACTCTAGAAAAAAGGTGAGCATCGGAGTTGCCCCTCTCCATGATAAGGCTCCCTTCAAGAGTAGACAGGCTTTTCCTCAGCTTCCACCTGCTGGAGGAGAACCTGATACAGCAACTCCTGCTCTTAGGTCTGAAAACGGTTTCCACGTCAGACTCAAAGGGGAAGATGAGGAACTGAGAGGCTGTTAAATCTGTTAAGAACAGAACTTGGAATCCATGAATCATAGTAATTAGCAATAATGTCACTCTTTCATGTGACCAAGGAGAGAACTGCCTGGAATATATAGCCACTAGTCATATTCACAAGCCTTTCTAACAATAATTTATAAAAGCAAACAACCACATACATTCAATATTCCATACAACAACCAAGTGATTCAAAGAAAAGTCTTGCCATGAGAAGAGGCAACACCAACACTCACACTTCCTCAGGAGGTTTGGTCAACCGTGGTGTCTGACTCCCATGTGGACCTGAGTTCTCTGGACAGTCAGGTCCACATGCCCCAAAGCTTGCATAAGGCACTTTGTTCTCATAAGAACCCGACACTAGGGGCTGGAGAGATATCTCAGTGGTTAAGAGCATTGACTAATTTTCCAGAGTACCCAGGTTCAATTCCCAGCACTCACATGGCAGCTCACTACTGCCTGTAATTCCAGTTCCAGGGAACCCAACATCCATGGTAAACCACCAATGCATATTAAAAAAAAAAAAAGAACCTGACTACCTACCTATCTACCTATCTACCTATCTATCTACTATCTATCTTATCTATCTATCTATACTGATATTTACATATCAGTATAAAATAGACTTTCAGCTTCCCTTAATTTAGGACAGAGGAAATTTTGTACTTGAGGGACTGCCATGCTCACTTTCTAGCCTGAAGTATATATGTTTACATGTATATCAGTATATGTATTTAATAAATCTGGTAAAGTAAATGCATTCTAATTAGTAGGATTTAACTACCTTGTCTGGAGATCTTCATAATTAATGATCTCTTTTTCTTTTACTTTCTTTTTCTTTTTTGGGGGGTTTTTCAAGACAGGATTTCTCTGTAGATTTGGAAGCTGTCCTGGAACTCACTCTGTAGACCAGGCTGGCCTCAAACTCACAGAGATCTGCCTGCCTCTGCCTCCCCAGTGCTGGGATTAAAGGTATGCGCCACCAACACCTGGCTGAATTAATGATTTCTATCTCCTGCCCAGTTCCTTCATAGAAACAGGCAAATAAGAACTATGTGAACTACCTGGAAGCTAAAGGGAAAAATAAGTGTAGCCACTATGTCCTCCTTCCAGCTATATCAAGAGCAGCCGGCACAGGCACTGCCTTGGCTCCTGCAGGATTTCTCACAGAACACCAAGTACAGGAGGAGGCTCACCATGACAAAATCCTCAGGCAGCCCTCATCAAGGTGATAGCCGAGTTAAGATGGGAAACACTCTAAAAAAGAAAACATTGCATATTTTACCCTCCACAAGTGGAAGATCCTTTTCAGCTCCTTGTGAGTCGAGTCCAAGAACAGGTAAGGTCTTGATGGCCAATTTTTGTCTATTGGTGACAAGGAAGGCATCTTATTTTTCATTTCCAAGAAGTATTTTTGCACCTGTGTGACAGAAAATACTAGATGAGAGAAATCCACACTAAATCAACCAGACCAGTCAAGTTCAAGAGAACTGATCAGTTTGAGTCTGGAAGATTGTGTATCTTCTCTATTAATTCTATTTAACTATTTCATACCTACTGGGGGATGTGAGCTCTTCCAGTTATCAGGAAAGATGACTACAGACTTAGTTACTCCCACCAGTGCTGGCCAACACCAATACCGCAGCAGAGTTGTTCTGCTCAACAGAACTTAGACTTACATTGTAGGGAACTAAAATTAAATAGACGACTAGTTCCTCAGTCACACCAGTGCTTTCCAAGTGCTGTATATAACTACACATGGATAGTGGCTATCCACTAAAGTTACAGAACACATTCATTGTTGTAGAAAGTTCTGGACAAGCTATACTATAGAACAAAAATGGTCCCTAACTTGGGATAGCTCAACTCATGAATTTCTGACTTTACAATGGTACAAGAACAATGCATTCTCAGTAGAAACCAGAGCTCACAATCTGATGTCTGGATAGGCCAGTGGGAGCAGTGCAAGGCTCTCCTAAGAGCTGGGCAGTGACTCCTGGGCTCAACCAGTCATGCAATCAGGACTGACAACCAACAGACTTTCTATATGGACCATGTTGCTAAGCTGTGACATTCAGTAGGTTAGGTGTGGCAAACACACTCTTGACATAAGATATTCTCAACTTATGATATGGTTTACTGGGACACAATTCCACCATGTGTCAAAGGATCATTCCACTTAATTAACATGGGCCCGGCCCCGGAAAAACCTTATCATTTACTCAAAGTAAAAAACCACACATGACCAAATGAGAACCACAGGAGTTACTTACTCATGTTATAATTAAACAGAAGTACTAGCTGATACAGCATTTACAGCTTCACCACAACACACCCTTGAGCAGGGCAACTCCGGAATCCAGCCTCACCCACCTCTGCTCCCAGATGTCTTGCTTCCACCAACCTATTTACAAAGCTTGCTCTCCAGAGCCTATAGCAGTTTAACAGGGCAAAAGCTTGACTTTCTTCACTTCACCTTCCTAGTTTTCTATGCCAAGTAAGTATTGTATCAATTATATTAATCACAGGCCCCTAACAGTTCTGACACATTGTATTTGTACTTGCATTAGACACCAAAGGTTACCAATGGCTTTTTGTACCTATGGTTTTGTGGATTTTTTAAAGTCATATTTTATTGAGTTGGTTATTAGGGGTTAATTTCATAATGCTGACTAGCCATACAGTGTCAACTTACAATTCTTTGAAGTGTAAACTCATAGATTTTCTTTCCAGCATTCGCTCTAAAGAACTTCCTGTATTCCCGGCGTACCTTTCAAAGGAATCAGATTGACAGTTAGAACCAGGCTGGCAGGCATTCATCATGATGTACCTCTTTACAAATCAAAGTTTATGGAACATACATATTTACACATGTCCTTTCTAGATTGAGAGAACTGATGGATGCATACTCAGGCAGTGGCAATTACATCAGAGAAAAAGAAACTCAGTGAATGATACTTTAAATCCCACTGTTTTTTTTTTTTTTTATACAGGCTGCTGATTTGGCATGAAACTCTCTACAGGAATAGCTGCAAACTTGTCACAGATTAGAGCACATTTCATGAAAAATTTTATGAGGCCATTTCTCCTTCAGATGTTATTTTAGAGACTATCTGAAGAACTAGATCAAAACTTCCAAAAATCCTACATAAAAACACAGGACTTTACTAGTGGAGAAGAGAGCGAAAGCAGCTAAAAATAAGATTCTTAAAAGCTTTCAGGCTATCATTGTCTTCCATTCAACCACACCAAATGCTACACTTATTATCATAGCACTGAAGACATCATGCCATTTTAAACACAAACTTTCCCCATACTACAACATAATAATCTATATCATATATTAATGTCTAACAACTAAGTGTGGTGTTTACGGAATTAATGAGTGTTACAATTAAATACTGACACTGAGGGTGGCATATAAAGTGTTTATTATCATCTACTTAGGAATAGAAGTTAGAAATTAGCAAAACATCAGCTTCTGGGTGTTCTGTATGTTTTTCTCTTGCTTCCCACTTTTCTGGGCTTAAATACATGTGCACTATCTGTACAATGGGTGTTGTGGAGTAGAAACCTATGAGCTCACAAACTCAGTCTGTGGATAACATATCCTTATGTTTCTACATAACAGTTTAGACTGCAGACTTCTCTTAACATTTTCTAAGCTGCAGTAACAGTGATCCCCATTTCTACGGGACAGGTAAACCTCAGCAGCCTTCGTAGAGATCTGCAGGTTCTGAGTTGTACATATCAAATTGCTCCTAATCAGCCCACTGCCTTCCTTATCTATGCCACCTGCCTGCTCTTCAAGCATGTGAGGGCAGGCCGTTCTACACAACAGCTAAGCCTCTGTTCAGGCTGCTCTACACTACAGCTAGATGTCTGAGGGCAGGCTGTTCTTCCTAACAGCTAAGCATCTGAGGTCATTTCTCTTTTAGCCAAGGGATTGCTAGATTCATAAGGATTTCAGACCTCCAGCTTCCAAGGGTCAAGGGGCACAGAGGAGAAAGCAGGCAAGTTGAAGGGAGGTCTGTGCAGCAAGCACATCCTTAGGCAATGTGGAAGTCCTGTGCTATGCAGCTGAATCTCGCTGTATCGCAGCTATCGGCATGCCTTCTGACATCTCATGTGATAAATGGCTGCTCCTCAAATAAAGCTACCTACAGTAAAAACTTGGTGATATCACACCCTTCTCACAACGGGGACCTCCTTGAACGCCAGGAATTGCAAAGGGGTTCGGTGTATTTTGTATTTATTTATACAAGCAAATCAAATCTTTTCAAAGTACAAAAGCATTGCTCCCATCAACATGACTTGTTTTTGTGATAAAAATGACAAGATTATTACAATCTTAAACTTCAAAAAGTTTAATCTTATTTCATAACAGTAATAATGGGAATAGGGTATGATATTTTTGTCTCATTAGGATCCGAGGGAGAAGAGCTGCAGTAAGAGCAAGCCCAGCGAATTCTGCAGAAACAGCATTCACCTGTAGGCTGAGTGCTGCTATCCACACCCCCAGTGCAAAAATAATGTGAAAGACTACGCAATGAAACCCAGTATGGGGAGCAAAAGTCTGGGTTCAATCCTGCCTGCTTCCTTCCTCTTATAAAAATTACGATGCAAATTCAAAAAACAAAAACAAAAAACAGGAAACGCTTAGTTTTGTTTGGCTTCCAAACAGAGCAAGCAAAGGACTTATTCAGAATTTGTCAAACAGAACATCTGTTAGACTCATATTAAAGTCACTTCTTAATTACCTTATGAATACTCAGAATAATCAAAAAGGATAATTAACTAGATGTTTGTAGGAGGAATTTTCTGGGGAAATGGAGATTATTCAAAGCCATATTCAGGGATGTTTCTGAAGGCTGCTAAGCTGCAGAATCGATGACTGCTCAGCTAATTTTCAAATATTTATAATAAGAGTTAGTGTTACTGGACTAAAGTAGAATGCTGAAGAGAAACAGTGTGGAAAGGACGGTGATTGCCCTTGAAAGGCTATGTGGATGTCTCACTGTATTGGTTAATTACTAAACAGGAAGACCAAATCCTCATTTTGCCTGTCATGCTCAGAGTCAAACTTTCCTATGTACTTGTGTGTGCTTCCCCCTCCCAGACCAAGCACCTGCCTTAATCTCAAGGTCTGAACTCTACATTTCCCTCCTCTTCACAATCCCCACCATCTCATTCAGCAACATTTCTAAGTTTACTGGAGCAAACACTCTGACTTGTGCTGGGCCATGAGCACTTGGAAGAAAGCTCCACTCTAGCCCTCAGTGAAACAGCACAGGCAGATGAGAAACAAAGCCTGCCACCCGCTTGCAGGCTACTGTTGATGGAAGAAGATTGGCTTCCAGCTCTAGGACCACACTCTGCCTCATGATTTAAAAGCTTATAAAAGGCTGGGCAGTGTTAGCAACTGCCTTTAGTCCCAGCACTCAGGGAGAAGAGGCTGGTGGAGCTCTGTGAGTTGGAGGCCAGCCTGGTTTACAGAGTGAGCTGCAGAAACCCTGCCTTGAAAAGCAAAACAAACAAATAAATAAAAAATAAAACCCAGACAACAACATGTCTTGACGTCTTGGACAAAATATACTGCATTACACTCATTATTTAAAGAAATTTAAATCACATTAAAATGAGAAAAATTAATGAGTAGCTTTTTTCATTTTGTTTCCCCTAAAAAGAAACAAAATCAGGCAAGCTGACATTTCCTAAGACTGCAGACAGCAGCAAGCGCCGCCAGTTTTCTCAGGTTAGTAGGTGCGAGGCTTTATGGAAGTCACCCAGGGCAGGAGGAAGACATGATGGAAGTACCTTCAGTCCAAGCCAGTAAGCCCAAATGACAGCAACTGCATGCTTACGCCTAGCCTCCTCCTTCAAGCGTTTCAATTCCCTTCGAGCCTAGAATGTTTTAGATAGTAAATAAGAGACAGCCCAATGCAGACAGCACAAATGACCAGAAAAAGGTACCCCCAATCCAAACAGGAGAGCCAATATTTGAGCAGGACTGCAGAATGGCGGAGAAACAGTGCACACTCATTTCAACCCAAGGGTCCATGTGGAGCTGGCACAGCGGCCTGTAGTTCAGTGCACTGAGAACCACTTCTGGGCAAGGGACAATGATGTGGTACCCAAGAGGACTGCCTCCTCAGTTCCATTCCTCTCTGTTCTCCTTTGTCCTCACTGCCTTCTCCACATTTGCTCAACTCGCTTATAGAATGATCTCACTATACTGTCTTTGGCTGTGACCCTCTCAAGAGCCTGTGTTTGGATGAATTCAAAAGACAACTTGTGTGAACAACCATTTGCAAAAAAATAAAGGCTGTGTATGTGAGTGCAAGCAAAACTAACAAAACACAGAAGTCCTTCCCAGTTCAAGTTAGAAGCAGCATATGTAAATGAACTGTATTGGGGGCAAACTAACATCCAGAAGGCCCTGGAAACAGTCCGCCACATCACCCAAAACAAATTCTGGCTAAGATTCCAAAGAGTGAAACATACTAAAAACGGAAATGAGGCAAAAAAAAAAAAAATGACACAAGTGACAGGTTGGAAAGATGACACTGGGGAAAATCAATCTTGGGCATGCTGTTTCAAAAGACAAGAGACTGTTTCACAAGACAAGGCACTGACTTGTGAGACACTCCAGCACTGTGACTAGGGAATATGTTCACTGGAGAAGTCCCTACCGCAGCAGTATGTCTGCTGGGACATGTCCCTTAACTGGCTAAGGAATGAGGATGGTTTTTACAGACTTAGAAAAAACACAAATGAACAATTTTGGTCAGTTTCTGACAAACCTGTTGTGTAGCCCACATGGCTGACTACTTATTCATCTGACAAGATAGATGGGCTTACAATACTGACAAGGTAAACTTTAACAAAAACACAGGGCTTGCAGAGTTTTGTTTCTAACTGGAATACATATTTTAAGCAAAGATGACCTTTGATTTCTAAGTAAGAAAAACATCTAAAACTCTTGTTCTTTTGGGGGAGGAGGGTCTATGAAATGTTCCCAGAGCCCAGGACTCTGCCTGGGATTAGAGAGTTCCAGGAGGCTTTTGTCCCTGAAAACAAATAGCCATGCTGAAATTCCGGGGATTCTTCTCTGGCAAGTATGGCTAGCTTCCCATGAACACAGTTTTCTGTGAAATCACAGTTGATCATTCCATGAAAACACAACACTGTTGCCTTAACAATAACCAATAGAAAACATCTAAAACTCTTGTTCTTTTGGGGGAGGAGGGTCTATGAAATGTTCCCAGAGCCCAGGACTCTGCCTGGGATTAGAGAGTTCCAGGAGGCTTTTGTCCCTGAAAACAAATAGCCATGCTGAAATTCCGGGGATTCTTCTCTGGCAAGTATGGCTAGCTTCTCATGAACACAGTTTTCTGTGAAATCACAGTTGATCATTCCCTGAAAACACAACACTGTTGCCTTAACAATAACCAATAGGGGTCACATGCAGCCTGAAATGCAAGTTCATTCAAAGATTACTTCTAAAAAACATGCGTTACTGGCGTTATTTTGTCAGCACACGGTAGAAACTGATCCAAACCCCAATCTTAACATTCTCCATATGCCCCCCTGCATACAAGTAACCCTAAAAACAGGCCAGCATTTAACAGTGGGAAACAGTGGGCACTAAACATGCCAAGTTAATTAACAGGATTTTTACAGAAGAACTATGCTAGAGCCTTATTAGTAAGGTTAGCGTTTTGGTCTGTACATGCCAAAGCTTCCATGGTATATTACTGTCTAGCATCACCAGTTTTATTAATTTGATTGCTAGAGCATGCACTGAGGTGAGTCACTACCAACAGCATCCTTCATCCCTGCTATGCTAAGAGACCGGGTTTGGTTACTGCAGAGTTCCTGGGCGTAGTCATGGGATATGTGCATGAAGTACCTTCGATCCAAGCCAGAAAGCCCAAATAACTGCAATAGCATGTTTATTCCTAGCCTCCTCCTTCAGCCGTCTCAGCTCCCTTCGCGCCTGTGGTGCGTTTGAAAAGGAGTTACAGAAAGAGTTAAGGCGGGAAAGGCTGCTGCTGCTTCCCAACGGAGACAGAAAAGGAGACACC